TTGTTGTTGCGGCGAAAGGCGGAATGTTCCTGCCTAATCAGGGGAGTTTCAGAGGGAGAAAAATGGAGGATGAAAAGGGGGTGAAGTAGGCGGAGAAGTAGAGAAGGAGGATGACGATATTGTCGAGGACAAAGGAGAAGCAAAGAGATGATCACTTGTTGCAGTTGAGCTGTGTCACCAGCTAAAATTGAATTTGGGTTAAAGTGGAAAAAATAGGTGTGCCTTTATAGGATTTTTAACAAACAAACAAACTCTTTAAAAAATAAATACGTAGTAAAATAATAAATAATAATAATTTTTTAGAAAAAAAAAAAAACAAACAAACAATATTAAGATCTACAACTAACGTTTTTTTTTTTTTTTTTTTTTTTTTGGTGAGGCTAGTTGATGTGATAGGAAAAGTATTAAGATTTGTGATAAGAAAAGTGCAGGTCTTTATTAATACGTATTTAAAAAATAAATACGTAGTAAAATAATAAATAATAATAATTTTTTAGAAAAAAAAAAAACAAACAATATTAAGATCTACAACTAATGTTTTTTTTTTTTTTTTTTTTTTTTTTTTTTTTTTTTTTTTGGTGAGGCTAGTTGATGTGATAGGAAAAGTATTAAGATTTGTGATAGGAAAAGTGCAGGTCTTTATTAATATATTTAACATTTAATATTCTATAGTAATAATTATTATCCAGGTATATCTTATTCAAAATATATTACTAGTAAGACATAAAATATTCTTTTGTTGCACATAATAATTAACGGAGGTAGTATTTATCTTTTTAAATTTTGTTAATACGAAGTATATCTTTTTTTAGAAATTGTTCACATATATTACCTTAAATTATTATAATTTTCTATCATTTTGAAAATTTGGTGAAGTTTAAAAACAAACTAGTTATTGGTACGAGTGATGCCCTATATCACTATAAATTTATAAGTCTGATCAAAATTAAATTTATAAAGTTATTGTTCAACAATATTTATAAGTGATTAAAAATATAATAATAAATTTAAGATTAATCGGTGCTAGTTTTTATTCATTTTACTTTATACTTTATGTATAATTGCTTAACTGATATTGAATATAAAAAAATAGCATCTAAGGAATCAATAACCATTAATGTGGTTTATTTCTTACAAATTAAATTGTACATTATTGTGCAATTACTTAGGAGTTACATTATATGGGAAAATTTAATAATACGAAGGTTACACATATGAAGGGTTTTAATGCGATGATGATGACATATTATAAGGTGACACATGGCACTAGCATGCTGTCCCTTTGAGTTTTAATAATAGGAAAAAATTGGTTTTAATAATCCCAATTCTGGCTTATTTACTTTAATTAATCCCAACTTTGAATTATTATTGAATACCCCCAACTTTAGGGGTATTTGCTTTAATGGGCCTAAGTGACTGATAACTTGTTAAACAGGTAATTTTTTGTTTTTTGGTTTATTAGCCACATGTCATAATTTGATTGATCAAATATTTTTTTTAAATTAAAAAAAAAAACAACCAGCAAGCCACCTCTGGCGTGGCTGCCCTACCCACGAACTAGCCCTCCCCACCTAACCCACCACCGGAATGGCCTGAAAACCGCCCCCTCTCATCTTCCCAGGCGCCGAAACCCTACCCCTTCCCAAGCCCTGAAAACCCCAACAGAGTGGTGTTAGAGTTGAAGTTGGAGAAGGGGAGGGGACGGGATTGAAAGGAATGGTATCCTTCGAACAAGTGTATTATTCCGATAGAGGGTTTAGAATAAATTACAGAGTTAACTATTCATTAAAGTCGAGTGATCGGAAAGTCGGGCTTGAGGTATAATGGATTACTTCAACTTAATTGTCTCTTTTTTTTAAAAAACTTTAATCACTAATGGTTACTTTGCAAAATACTGTAACTAGTCGTTAATTGTACATCAAAATTGAATATTTAATTTATTAATGTATGATACTTAAATGGTGCTTTGCTTGTACATAAAGGGCTGATATAGTACATACAACCATTAAGCTAACAACAATTATAATCAATAACATTAATTATGTATTATGTAATAGTGTGTCAATTAAATTAAATTGGAAACTAGGTTGAAAAAAGAGTACATTTCAACAGGTAACACACAATATAATATAATACAATACATCTTATGATAATCCACGCAACTTGATGCATCACCCAGTTTAATTTTGACAACCATGCACGTTTCATATTGTAGTCCATGAACATCACAGAATGACATTGTTATAGAATTCAACATTTATCACATGTAGGCTCTATTGCTTGCGTACATGTAGAATCCTCTCGTTCACGTCTATATAATACAGAATCATTGATTTGAATCGATTTGACTCCAAATATCCTTCTTTTGCACATGAAGTTTTAGAATTCACACTTGATTTGTGGTTGTTGTTGAAGCAAACACAACTAATTACTCATCCCCCAAAGCATGGATCATATGCCCTTCAATTCCATTCATAATTCTCCATGCCAAAGAAAGAACATAAGCAAACGACAAACAACCTGCCCTTTGGGGGGGTAATCATTCCCTTTATTTATTTTTAAAGATATTATATATTTTTTTTAGAATTTTCTTTGAATTCGACGACGAAGCCGCTAGAAGCTTACTCTAATGTCTCCATTGAAAAGGCTTCTGAGCTCTATCTTCCATTGAAAGCGCACTCTATATAATTTCTCCTATGAAACTACTTATGAGCTTTCTCCATTGGGGTTAACGGTGGCCTTGGGAGGGGAAGAGAGGGACGTTACATGTATGGGTAATGTCATTTACCACTTACCGCACATTGTTAGCTGACTATACACTGTGAATTACACAAAATACTTGTCACTATATATCGGAATTGATGGTTTTACCCTTATACCGTTTATTAAGGTACAAGGGTAAAACCGTCAATGGATTGAATTATATTGACTCTTGAATTTATTGAATTATATCCTTGCTCTTTGAAATTCCTTTGAGCATTGTGCACTCGGATGCATGGATTGTCGATTGTACCAAAAAAGGGAAATTCCCATTGGTACACCTCTAGAATTGGTTTTTTCCATTGGACATTGTTAACTATTTCCCTACCCACCGGTACACCTCTACTTTATGTTTCTTTCCATCGGCACACCTCTCTTTTATTTTTTGCTAAATTCGAGCTCAATTTGGACCCATTAAGTTAACTAGTAAAACCCATTAAGTTAACTAGTAAAAAAAAAAAAAAACTTAATTACCCCTTCTTAAACATTCATGTCTCGATTTGAGTGCTAATTAAGAATTGTTCGGTTAAGATTTTGGGGGTCATATATATCCTTAAGGGACCAAATTGAGCTCGAGCATCGCCTAAAAAACTAATGTGAATGCCTCGACTTGTATGTCAAGAAAGGTCTCATTTTGCGTGTAGTAATTTTTTTTTTGTGCTAAAAACTGTTCGGTTAAGATTTTTTGGTCATTTTGGCCTTAATGGTTAGTTCCAAATTGATCTCAAATTCAAAAAAAATTAACGTAAAGGTTTACTAGTGAGAAGAAACATAAAGTAAAGGTGTACCAGTAAGAAGACAAAAAGTTAATAGTGTACCAATAGGAAAAACCAATTCTAGAGATGTACCAATGAGAATTTCCAAAAAAGAAAAAGGGAAATATTGTCGAGAACTACCCATTGAATATGCCATTTTGTTAACAAGTTTCGCTTAAAATTTTTATTAAAAAAATTACCCCTTAAATTTAAAAACTTTGAGTAGCGCTACCCATTTGTAAATTCTGGCAGAATATCCGATGAGTGAGACTTTTTTTTTTAATTTTTTTTTTAATCTTTTCTTCATAAAACCCACTAGTTTTCTCCTCCTTTAACTTGTCAAAATCAAAAAAATTTGAATTGTGAGATTTTGTTGTGAAGAGAAGTGAGAAAAGGGATGGGTAGTTATATAAACTATGGTTGGAAGTTGGAACCTATTTTAAGAGTTAAAAATTAAAAATAAGAAGCTCATTCATCGGAGATTCTTGTTGGAATTAACAAATGGGTAGTGATACACAAAGTTTTAAAACTTAATGGGTAGTTTTTTTTTGGAAAATTTGTCAATTACTACCTCAAAAAGAGGGCATTTGTGAATCACTACCCTAAAAAAAAGTTGTTAATTATTATCCCTAAAATTGATTAATTCTAGCAACTACTACCTTTTTCCCTAATCATCCTACTTAAGCTCTTAATAACATCATTATTTAGTTAAATTGTAATTAATAGCTTTTAAACCTTAATTAATTAGATAAACCCTTGCACCACCTCCGACAGCCACCTTACCACCTCCAGCAGCTCCCCCACCACGAAATCCACCGCCTCTTGGTCATCCACCACGAAACCCACCCCTTCCCATTCCCCCGTCGCGAAACCATTCGCAATTATCACCCCTTCCCTTGCCCCCCAACCCTCAAAATTCATCCCTTTCCCTTTCCCAACCCTGATTACGACCCCTCCCTTTCCCCCAGCCCTCGAAAATAACCCAGTCATGTGATGGAGGTGAGTTTCGCTACGGGAAACGAGGGAAGGATGTGTTTCATGGTGGGGAATGGGAGGGGTGGGTTTCGTGGTGGGGTATCGAGAGGGGAGTGGGTTTCACGGTGAGGGAGCTGCCGGAGGTGGTAAGGGGGGCTATCGGTGGTGGTGCAAGGTTTAATAAATTAATCAAGGTTTAAAAGCCACTAATTACAATTTAGATGGATAATGATGTCATTAAGAACTTAAGTAGGTTGATTAGGGGAAAAGGTAGTAGTTGCTAGAATTAATCAATTTTAGGGTAGTAATTAGCAACTTTTTTTAGGGGTAGTATTCGCAAAAGCCCCCTATTTGAGGTAGTAATTGACAAATTTTCCTAATTTTTTTTGATAAAATTTTTAATAGAGTATTTGTTGACAAAATGACATATTTGGTAGGTAATTCCTGATAATATTTTTTAAAAAAATAAAATAAAATTAAAAAAAAAAAAAAAAAAAACCTTATGAATGTGCTCATTATCTTATTATTCGTACTCATTAGGACGCGTAGCATAAGCAGTGGAAGCAAAGGAAAAAAAAAAATGGCAAAGAGAGCTTCATTTTCTACTACATCAATCAATGGTGAAACAACTAATACAACGCCAAACAGGTATTTCTCCTTCACTTTTTGCTTAACAATACTGCATCAAGCAATTATAATACTTCATGTTAATGGTTTTTTTTTTTGTTTTTTTTTTTTTCGAAGAAAAATTACGTTGAGGATAAAATCATCACAAAATTCCATGAGAAAATCGAGGGATGAAGAAGAAGGTGAGAAAGAAGCAAGACCCAGTTCATCAAAGAGGTCAAAATCGTCTTTAAAGAAGAAGAAAATTGATCCCAATAAACCCAAGAAGCCACCTACTGCATTCTTCTTCTTCTTGTAAATTCCTATCCTTTTCTCTGTTAATTTCTTTTCATTTCTACTTGTGTTTATTGTATGTGTTTGTAACTCTAAAATTTTTTTGGATTACTTTTAAGTTGTATGACTTTATTAGTATGAAGGCTTATGAGTGAAATTAGGCCAAATTGGGGTAAAATTGACATTTATATGAAATTTGGTAATTAATTAAGGAATTCTACCATGCCCATGTTGTTTGTTTATGAACTCTAATGTGCTAATTGTTGTATTTTAGATGGTAAGTAACATAACGTGTTAATGTTAAAATTGGTGGTGTAAGCTATTTTATTTGGACTCGGGTACCCATGTCTGATACGGGTACGTGTCCAAGCATCCAAATCGGCTATTTTGTGAAAAAATTCTACTACCTCCGTTTCATATTTTTTGCAACTTTGGAATATTTTATATCTCACAAATAATACCCCAAAGTTGCAAAAAATATGAGACGGAGGTAGTATTGTTTTGAACTACAAGTGAAGTGTCCCAGTGTCATACCCATATCCGAGTGTCGAGGATCCGACACGGGTATGTGAGGTGAAATGAAGAGTGATAGAGTGTAAGTAGAGAATTGAAAATTTAATAGTGCTACTATCGCAATGGTTGAGTAATAGTTAATATTTGTTGTCTAATTGGGTTTTGAAAAAAACTTGCACACTGTACAATGATTTGTACAATGAACTTAAATATGAGTAATTTTGTTGTATATAATGCACTATTCACCTATTGTATACAAGACCTACAAGTTTTTTTTATACTTAGGTTTTTTTACTATATACTCTTAGTTAATGGCAAGATCTCAATGTACTTTGTTTGAGGTAATGATGTTGCCTCTTACAAGTAGTTGACTGAGTTAAGTAAGCTTCAAGCTCTTGGTTGATGCTTTCGTTTTGGTTTGGTTAAATGCTTACATTGACGGTATGGTGTGTCATTGAGCTTTCTCAGTAACCAACTGAGATGTGGATGATGTGATAATGGACAGTATATTTACCAATCTCTTATATGAGTTGACTGTATTCAGGCGTATTATGAACTCTCTAATGGTATATAAATTAGTGTGGTGAAGCTCTAGACTATAGATTTTGTAGGATCTTGCAGAACTTGTAAATGAGATTTTGCTTATTGTAATTGAGTTTTAGATCACAGCTTTTGTAGGATACCCTGGACCTTGAAAATGAGAATTTGATTATGTGCTAAAGGGATTTTGGATTCCAAGTGTGTGTGAACAATATTTTCAAGTAACTCCACCATGTGTCGTTTTTTGTGAGTTTCAAATGTTAATATGACACACAAAACCAAGCCCAACAGTGGGGAAGTAAGAGTGAGGGGGAAGGAAATTGGTTTTATGGGCTATGCTTAATGTTTGAAACTCATCATTATGCCAAATGGTATAAACAAATTAATAATAGGATAATTCTTCAAAGGTTTTTTGTGGGCTATATATGAAGTAGGTTGTTTGTAAAATATATATTACATAAGAAGTAGTTTCCTGCAGTTCAGAGAAGCCAATGGTCATTGCTTATTGGATTAAGGGGACTTATAGAATTGACCCTCATCCACAAGGTAGGAGCAGCTTACAGGCATTGGGATAATGTTCTTATTGGTATGTAGGGAGAGCCTATGATTGATATGATACCTGCCCTTGGTCTTTCAACATGTCACTTAAGTATAGCAAATAATATATTGTGTGCACCCACTAGGTAACGAAAAAAGAGCAATAACTGATACAAAACCTTTATAACTAAGATATAAAATTAACAATAAGTGACAAAATTAAGCGTAGAAACACAGAATTAGGCGATTGAAAGAAAAAATGAATTCAAAGAAGCTTGAAATTCTTAATGCAAATGACTAACCTACTGCGGGTCGCAAAATTCGCATTAGTTAAAACAGGAAGTTTCATGTATTAGTAAGCAAATAGAAAAAACCTACCAGTGCCGGCCTATACTATTGCCACATTTGCCAGCACCTTTGAACAACAGATACTAACAAGCTCTAATTTTACTTTAATCAACATCTCTTATAATTTTGAGCATATGAAATTGCATGAAAAAGGTTTGCCCTTATATTATGGCTTACACCAGATAAGTAAGAAGAATCTTTGCTCAGAATGTTAAAGTTAGGCCCTGTTCGGCAACATGTATGTAGCTCTAGCCTGTAGGGATACCCGTTAGTTGTGGATCTGAGGTAGTAGATGTTGGTTGTGTTATTGTAAGCGATCAACAACCCGTTAGTTGTGGATCAACAAGTTGTTAGCTGTGAAAATTAATAATTATGAGTGTTCACGGAATTATGGTTAAGAACAATGTTATCGGGTTAGGGGAATTATAGGCCTATAAAGCGAATATGAAGGCTTGGTCATGTGGATGTCTGACACTATCATTCACTTATTCAGATGTTATTTACCTGACTATCATATCTGATGCCTTTTTAATTTGATTAGTTATTTGTTTTGGAAAAGTGCTAAATTTATTTGAAACTCTATACTTACTTTGGTACTCTATCTCTTAAGGGAAGACTTCAGAAGAGGATATCAGGAAGAGAATCCAGAGGTTAAATCTATGCGTGATGTATGTACTGATATATTTCATATGTTCTCTCTCTCTCTCTCTTTTTCAGTTCTAAATGCTTTTACTTGTGAATTTGAGTAACATTGAAATGCTTCTGACAACAGATTGGAAAAGCTTGTGGAGAGAAATGGAAGATTATGACTTATGAGGTAATTCAAGTTTGAATCTTCAGCAAAATTTTTGTACTGCATTTTAAATTACTACTTCGATTTGTATGTTGTATTCCTATAAAAAAAGTTTTTTACAGCTTGTTTGGTGTAATGTGAAATATATATGACTTTTGTAGAAAAAAGTGTAACTCAGTGGTTGTTTGGAGTGATGGTCCACCTTAGGCATGATTTAGAGTGTCTAGTGCATGTAGCTCATTTCTGGCATACGAAGAAGCCATTGACAGCACCACCATTTAACTGTAGCAATAAAAATGAGACGGAGAGAATAATTTAAAAGTGAAAGATGACTTAAGTACGATGCAGTTTACTGAATGAGCTTGATGGTTATTATTGTTGGTGAGTTATCACTTAAGTTTGGGTCTGGTGAGGTTCATTCAAGGGTGACCACTTACCACATTGACTGGTTGTGATGTCCATCTTTCCATTTGATTTTAAAATATTTTCATATAAGTGTCTTCATTTCTAATATGATCTCTTGGAATATTTTGTTCTGTGATATTTCTGTTTGTAAGGTGCTGAAAAGGGAGGAAATTTCAATCTCTTCTGGAAAATAACATGAAAAAGGCTATTTCCATGTTCTGCAATTTCCTACTTTGTGTGTAATATGTATGCATATCATTTTCCTTGCATTTGCAATGCTATGATCATTGCATTTTTGTCAATATTATATACGTTTACTATCACTTTTCAATCATAAGTATCCTGCTACAGTTGGTTAGGGACCTTAGGATTAATAAAGTAGCACATTAATCTTTCCATAAGCCACCAAAGGCAGGATCTATATCGTTAAACAAATGTTGCGGAGGATTACTTCCTCAAGTTTGACGTCGTCACAAATTCTTGCATTATGTATTTCTGGCTGGCATCTTTATTTTGTCAGCTTCCATGTGTGATGCTTTCAGCCTTTGTCAAATCGGAAATAGGGCCAATAAGATCACACAGAACTGATAAGTAGTGAGTTGGAAAACAAAGTTTCAATTTATGCCTTCTTTGGTCATCTCAAGGTGATGCCTAGAGAGTTTGTTTTTTCACTGTTACTAGAAGTTCAGGATATTGAGTTGTAAGTAGAGAGTTAGTCAGAAAACATAAACTTCGGACTGACTTCTGTTATGTTCTGGCTCTTACACTCCACCAATGTAGAAACTTCTACTGTCTCGACCCCACAAACTCAGCCCACAAGGGTTTAAGGAGAGGGTGAAATGAAGCAAATGTCATATATGTTTGGTATGTATTGGCAGTTGTTGGTCAAAATTGTAAAATTATACCCCCTTTGTTCCTTTTTAAAGACCCTATATCTCCAAAGCACAGGTTTTTGACGAGTACTACAAAGCTGAATATGAAATAATGTAGCGGGAATAGTTGTATTGATCTTAGGGGAATTGATGGAGGGATTCTGATTGTTAATAAAAAAAAATTCAGTAACCCAAAATGAGAAATTGGTCTTTAAATGGGATGAGTATTTAGAGATATGGGGTCTTTGTTTAGGGACATAGATATATTTACTACCTCCTTTTCATATTTTCTGCAACTTTGGAATATTTTATATCTCACAAATAATATCCCAAAGTTGCAAAAAATATGAAACGGAGGTAGTATCTTAAATGAGTTGCTGATAATAGGATGAAAATTGGGGTGATTGAATCCTTGCTTTTCAGAAGTACTCATAATTGTGATTTATCCTTGCTTCTTTGCCATCAATGCATGACAATGTATTGGTTCTTTGGTTTAATCAGGAAAAAGTGAAGTACTATGATATAGCAACTGAAAAACGAGCTACATTTGACAAGGCAATGGCAGAATACATCAGAAGAAAGGTATACTTTCTCATATACAGCCATTTCTGTGTCTGTCCTGTTTACTTTTAAGTTTTAAGTTTATGTAAATTTGGATTTCGTTGTGCCTTAATATAGCATTGGATTTTCTTACAGGAGAGTGGTGAGGGTGCAGAATATGAGGATTCAGAATCAGAGTTCGATCTTGAATAACAAATCGTGGAAGTGAAAAGTCAGATAATAGGCACAGGAGCAGTAAATTGGTGCCAAATATGTCAGAATGTCAGGTGAGGTTGGTAAGCTAGGAAGAAAAATTGTACATTGACTTGTAAGCGGTTAGTGAAGATCTGTCTGTTGGATATGTATATGATTTTTGTGCTGATTATTATTTTGTATTAATCAGAACAAATGGTGTGATGTGGTTATGTAGTTGGGACATGTCATTGATGAGTAAAAACTAAAAAGCTCTTGGGTGACCAATATTTCCTTGCTTATTCATGTCTTGAACCATTTTTTATGATTTGATGATCAAGATTCGAATATTTGATCTTGTTCTGAAGGCATAGAGTCTGAATTCGTATCAAGGATTTGCTTCTTTTATATGTCTTGAAGATCAGTCTGCCAAATTTTGGGTTCTGGTCATTCTGGGTCTAAATTTAGCCCGTATTTGTAGCGAATGTCTTCAAAGATGCTACTTCATTTGAGAATCATGCGCCATATATGACTTTGTGGTAGATTCTTATCAATTCTTGCATTTTTGGTACCTATATTATACTTCATAGTTAACATTCAAAGTGTGCATTTAAAGCACATCTTAAGATAATGTAGGAAGGATTTATTCATAGTATGATGTTTTGGTATCTAATTAATGAGCAAGGAGAGTTTTGGATTCTACTGCAGAATATAGCATCTCTTTTTTTAGGCTTGTTTTGTTTTGTTTTGTTACAATAATGTAGTAGGATTTCTAAAACGAAAGCAGTGTTATTTAGTGATAGGTCCTTTACTGTAAAAAAGGCTTAAAAAAAAGGAACGGAGGTAATATATAATTAATTACTGTTGGGAATTTTTTTCTCACCCTAATGTGGGTCATATTTTTAGGCATGCCGACAATCCTAGGAAAGAAGCTAGAGAAAGAGAGTCGCCAACAAGTTTTAGGAACTTGTAAACCGTTCACGATTGTGAAGGTTACACCCAATTTACAATTACAGAGATTGCTAACTCCATAATGGTCTAGAACCATGACCGGATGTTCAGGGATGATGGTACGAATTTGACTTTCATAAGAGGTCAAACTCGCCTTAAAATAGGCCTCTACTTGATCCTTATTGATATACATGTGTGCTTTTCGATCAACATACATACATCAAATTAATCCTAAACTTGCTTAAATTATGTTGGTTGATTATTAATGCACAATTAAATCTAACATTGGTGATCACTTGAATTAAAATCATGTTAAAACCTAACTCCAATTATTAATTATCTTATTAAGCCTGATTTCAATTACAAATTCCCTTTAAACTTGCAAAAAAGGGGGTGATCAAGCAATAGCAATAAATCATTGGTAATCAAGCAACATATAATTAACATCTTGAACTTAAGATCTTGAAGCAAAAGGGTAATTAAGACTTCATCGAATTCTATACTAAGTGGAAGGAACCATGTATGTTTAAACCACTTGTAGTTACAACTTGTCAAATCATCTATATTACTTACATAATCATTATGTTTCAAAATCAATATTTTAGAACTCTTAGTCAATATGAAATCATATTTCTTTGGCTAAGTTTTAGATATGCTAGTCATCATTGTGGGTCTTTATACAACAATTGAAACTTATACAACAACTAGTTTTAAATTTCAATGAGAAACGACAATAGAGGGTGTGCACTTGGAATGTACTACCTTCGATTCCCATTACACTTAATTAGACCATGCGTTGTCATTTATAAATATGAGGTGAATCATGCTCATATTGTTGCTTTTATTCGATTATTCTCGAATTTCTTCAAGATTCTCGAACTAACTTTTCTTGAACTCTTTCAAGGCTCTCAAACTCTTTCGAGATTCATATACTCCCACTTGCCTTTTGAAGAGGCACATTAGCATGGGTGAACTAATCATGCTTTGAACCATGTTTGTTTGTTGCTTTTCTCAAAACGCTTTCGAGATTTATACTACTCCCACTTGACCTTTTGGAAATGATATCTTTTTCAGAAGGGCCTCTACTTGAGCAACAAACATTTTGTGCTAAGTATGACTTGTGTAGTAGTACCCCGTGCTCTATATAGGCATCGAACGCTTATTAAACGATTTAATACAACTTTTATTCCTTGCTTTGTAGAAAGACTTTATAAAAACTTTTCTTATCCACATCACGTATGAAGCCTTTGCAACATTTTGATTTGACGTATGAAGTTTTGTTTAGTATTATAGCTCAATTTAAAAGTATATCCCTTGAATATGGTTGGAAGATAGGTAATTTTCATCCATTATCAAAATATATCTCATATAGATTGATAGCTCCTTTCATAAACACTTCATAAGGTTTCCTTTCATAAACACTTCATAAGGTTTCCTTTCGGAGTTTGTTGTAAAACGATTTCACAACTCTTGGATGTTTATCAAGGTCTTGGCTTATATTCTCATGATTACGATTATATCGCAATACTTTGAATATCTTTCCAAGTAAATGTCTTGACTCAGACTTTCACCATTACAATCATATTGTAATGTATTTATTATCTTGTCAAGTTGATTCTGAACTTCATACTGGACCTTTTGAACTTTTCAAAAAAACTTTCACTATTATGCTTCAACTAAGCACAAATGATCGTGTCACAAGTGAAGATTCATTGTCCGTCTCTAGCCTTTGAACCTTAAGTTTTCTTACATCGATATGTATTTGACCTTGAGTTCACATCATCATTTCGCTAAAGGATGACTTTGTCAATTTTCAAATTAGAATGATGTTTACATATATCAATAGATTCATAATCTAATGATATTGAAAGTCCATCCCTTTGGATCTTCCGTATGTAATGTTCATTTTCATTTGAACCATTTGACATTTTAGAGACAATTTATATAGAAATGGTTTATCTATATCTGCCATATAGAGCTTTTAACCTATTTAGCTATTTAAAACACATTTTGATTCAAATAAGCATAGAATAACATTTACTCCATGTTTTTGAATCCTCCATGTTTTAGATATTTACATGTTTTTGAATAACATTACTAACATTGATTGGTGTTTTGATAATGGTAAGAATAAATAATATTTATTTAATTCTAGCCAATTACTAGGTAAGGTGAAATGTAAGTTTTACTTGTAAAGTTGCAACTTTTGCTTCTAAACTTGTAGAATCTACTTGTGATGTAGTAACATTTGCTTCTAAACTTGTAGATTTACTTCTTCCTTAGCCAAACTTCTTCTTTTCATTCAACCACATTCTTCAATGAGTGAACTAAACATGACATCGCATATCCAAGAAGTAGTAATATGCTAAATAAATTTCTATAATATACTTTTTAATTGGAACATTTCCATTCTTTTATTTTCCAACTTTATGAGGTAGTTTCTAATCAAGTGAAATTGGTCCATTTAGTTGGAAACATTTGTCGTTCATAACAACTTTTAGCATATAAGTAGTTTTAGGTTTTAGAAGTAGCAAATTACTTGCATTTCTTAGCCTATAACTTCTTAATGCTATCCCCATATATTCTTAAACCTTTCCCTTTTGATCCACTTAGAACATTTCTCTTAGGTTCAAATTATTGTTTTGCTTAACTTCTTTAAGAACTTTTCATGATTTTGCTAAGTCTATTTAACATTATTCATATTTGAGTTAAATCAGCTATTTAACTTCATACGAAATAGATGAAGAATGATGTCATTTGATCAACTTTTGATCATAGAGGTTTCCAATCACTTTCTTATATTTAATCACGGATTCTATTGGAATTTCGTACTTGTCTTTTAGAGGGTTTGTACCTCCCATCTTATTATATCCCTTGAAATGCTTTTCAAAATGAATATGGTATTGGCATTTTACTCAAATGTTTTGAGTTGAAGAAAACCAACTTGGACATGTGACATGGGTTTCTAAAACTTACCTTATAGAACCATCTTAGCAATATTGGAATATAGGTTTACAAATTATCTTTTAAACTTTTGAGAACGTTTCTCAACTTTATTTTCAATCGAGGAGAAAATATAATAATAAAACTAGAATATATATTACTTACTTAATAAACGCAAAATTCGACTACGTTTATCTTAATTTAAAGCACCTAAATTAAAATATAGTTTACTTTAACACTTTATTCAAAATTCCAAGATCCTTTATTCGTGTAATAGTTGACCGGATTTTGGCCCTACCATCAACCATTACATTTTCAAGGTAACTAAACTCTTTACTAATTGCAACTCTTACAACTCTTGATTGAATAATTAACCATCATATGTTTAATAATTATTGCCCTTTGCTTCAAGGTTCTAAACGCTTTAGGTAACCTTGTTGAGCACAACCAATTAAAATTGTAAAACTTGATTTATCCAAAGTTACCTAAGATAAAAAATGACACTCAGCTTTGGCATGACCTATCATTAATTATCAAAGGGTTGTTGGGTTTTTAATTGGAAAAGCAATTTCAATATTACCGGGACCTAGATTTATTATGGTATGATTCATTTAGTAAACTCTAGCGCATCATCATCAACATCAATAAAACTAGCATGCATAATCTACAGAATGCATAAACAAGACATAGTATGACCCCTAATCCTAAAAAAACTAATACAATAAATGCTTCCACTTGAATCTTCATGGATCACCATCCCTGGGCCTTTACTTCATGGACTCCTTGGATTAACTGCAACCTTTAATTCTACTCTAATCTATTTACTACTTAAATAAAATAGATAAAATTACAAAAATACTTAATCGGTACGTAGACCTTACTTAGATTACAAAAATATATCACGATGCGCAGATCGTATTTAGTAATCTACTGGGTCATACTAGTCATTATATAGCAACATAATATCATATATTATAAAACTGCCACATAATAAATATCACGTAAACATGTCTGCCTAAACCATAATATTGAATGTTTATAATTAAGGATACATGGTACCAAAATATCTCATATTTTAATCTGTAATTAGATAATATCATATATTATTCATGACTATATTTAGAATATCATACATTTTAAATTAGGCATGAGATAAAATCAAGTCTTATTTTAATCTTAAAAGATAAATCATATTTTTATCTTTTAAGATTATCCTAAAAAACTTAGGAGATTCTATCCTAATTACTAGCCAATCACATAATTTTAAATCAATTATCTCCTAAAATAATTATGGGATAATTTCATTATTAAATCAATTATTATCCATATGAAATCTTTTGCTCAAAATATCCTAACAAACTTATCAAAATTAAACATTTTAATTTTGAAAACTTATCTTTCAAAATAAAATCCGATTTTAAAATGATATTTTTTTTTTTTTTGAAAAATAGCGCCAACCACTGTGGTGTGGCC